GTGAGGGGTGCAGTGTGTGACGGGTGCTGTGTGTGTGCATGAGGATTGCTGTGTGTGCGTGTGGGGTGCTGTGTGTGTGTGAGGGGTGCAGTGCGTGTGTGTGAGGGGTGCTGTGTGTGTGTGAGGGGTGCAGTGCGTGTGTGTGAGGGGTGCTGTGTATGTGACGGGTACTGTGTGTGTTTGAGGGGTGCAGTGTGACGGGTGCTGTGTGTGTGTGATGGTGATGGGTGTGTGCTGGGATGTTTTGTATCAGGGGTACGGTGCCCTGGTGGTAGTGAGTTGTCACAAGCTCCCTACAGACAGGCTCACTGACACACACACAAGCTCACTACAAACACACACACCTATATCAAGCCTAACTGGAGGCTGTTGCTGGGAGGTCAGGTAGCCGTTTTCTGCAGCAAGGTTTCCGGCTTAACGTAGTTGCGGGACTTGATGACGGGAGGTGGAGCTTGCATCTATGGGTGGAGCTTACTATGTGGGGGCGAAGCCTGCATCCGCGAGGCAGAGTGTGTGCAGAGGAAGCTGTTGGGAAATCGGAAGGGAGTCTGTCAGTGCTCCCTCCAGCCCCCAGCACCTCTTTACAGCCCCCAGCACGTCTTTACAGCCCCCAGCATCTCCCAGCACCTCTCTCCTGAATTCCCTCGGACTGTTACAGGCTGTTACAGTTGAGGGAAAATAATAAAAGCACATGGTCAGCAAGTTGCCGGGACTGTCCCGGGAGAGTAAAATTGCCCGGGACAGACTTGAGCTTGCCAATGTAGTATAAACAATGTTCAATTCAGTACAGGAAAGCTCTGAATTTACTTACCAAACTTGTCTACAGCTCAGCTTGAAATCGATGCTAATTATTTAAAAACAATATATCTTCTTCTTTACTATAAGGGCAGTTAACAGTTCTTTTTCTTAGTTTTGTGATTCCTTATCTATATGTTCTAACAGTTTTAGTGAGTAAACAGGGCCGGCGCGTCCATAAGGCAGAGGGGCTCAAAAATCCAAATCCCCTGCCTCTGGCTAGGGACTCTTTTTTTCTAATTACCTGTCTCCATGCAGCCTGCAGCTATCACACAGCAGCAATTAAAGTCAGACTTCCCAGCGGTCCTGGGAGAAGAGCAGTGAAAGTCATGCCCCCTCCTCCTGACATCATCAGGAGAGGACGCCAACTTCAATTGCTGCTGTGTGATGGCTGCCGGCTCCAGCTCCTTTCTCACCCCTCCCTGGCCAAAGGTAAGATTCAGGTAGTGGGGATACATTTTTTGTTTTTTTAATCCAATTTTTATTATTTTTTTGAGCAGCCCCTGTCCAACCCCCCTGTGCCCCCTACCACAGTCCCTGTGCCCCCCTAGAGCCCCTGCCCTCCCTCCACAGCTCTTATCACCATCTAGAGCTCCTGTGCCTTCTCTAGTAACTGTGACCCCTACTCACCACAGCCCCCCACTCCAGCTTCTGACCCCCCTCCAGCTTCTGTCCCCTCTCCCTCTCCAGCTCCTGTCCCCCTCCCAGCTTCTGTCCCACCCCCCTCTCCAGCTCCTGTCCCCAGCTCCTGCCACCCCTGTAAAGCTCCTGTGTCGCCCTTCTACAGCTCTTGTGCCCCATCCTGCAGCTCCTGTGTCCCCCCTAGCTCCTGTCCCCCTCTTTCCAGCTCCTGTCATACCCCCACTATCCAGCCCAGCCCCCTTTTTCAGTCCCCCCTCTCCAGCCCTCCCCCCTCTCCAGCTCCTGTCCCTCCCACAGCCCCTGTTTCCCCTATTCAGCCCCTGTGTCACCCCTTCTCAAGGGCCTACATCCCTCACCACCGCCCCTGTCCCCTCTCTCAGCCCATGTAACCTGATTTCCCCCCCCACCACAGCCCCTCAGCCCCTGGGGGGAAGAAAGAGACACACATGGGGGCTGAGAAACACAATGGGGGTTGTCAGATACACACAAGAGGGTGTAAGACATAGTAAAGGGGGGATAAAATACAATAAAGAGGGTAAAAAATTCAAAAGGTGGGTTACGAGAGACACAGGAGAAGATGCATTTTTTTTTTAAAGGGGGGGGGGTCAAAATGCGTCTTTGTCTGTGTAGCCAAAAATCCTTGCACTGGCCCTGTGAGTAAATGAACAATTATTATGTATAGATGCAGTACTTAGCTAGAATACTGTGAATGTGCCAGTTGTCGGATTTCTACAACCAATCTATTAGTTTTTTGTTTTTTTTAATTTGTACTGACTTAGAATTATTGATGACAGCTCCGGGGTATGTACATATTTAAAATATAGAGTATCAAGGTGTTTGTAAGCTTTTCTTTAAAAATCTACTGCTTATATTTTAGCCTTTCTTCTTAATGGGTAATGAAAAACTACACAGGAATGTTATTTTTACAGCTGACATAATACCCATGAGAACTTGGCTGTGCAAAGTTAAAATCTAGAACAAATTGTTAAACCTAACTTGACCTTTGATATTTATGTCTACAAGTTGAATACATCCCACTACAGAAAAGAAAATATTTCGGAACAAGATGACGGGTAACTAATTCCTGATCACTTACTAGTCTATGTACAAGATGTGTCATGCAAGCAGATAAAGGAAGAACGTTAAAAAGGTATGATGATTAAATCATGGACACAACTTAGTGGCAAAGCACCCCATACTGGGAAATTTTTAGGGCCCCGTAAGTATTTATACAAACCCTGTGAAAACAATTGGGATGATATCCCGATGTGAATCCCTGGCAAGTGTATGTTAGATCATAAAGTTAATACCAATTAACTTTTTCAAAACTCCAATAACTTCCAATTTGACAGAACCCTATTTTCAGATTTCTCACCTTGTTATACAGATCTCTCCATAGACGTGCTCCTCTTTTGTCTCCCCTCTATACTATCCCCCTATCCAGGCCCCTCCATTTCCTCTCCTCCCCGTCGTTTACCAAACCCCCATACCCATGTACTCGTTCTGTATTCTGTCCCCAACTACATGAAAAAGTGCCCACTCCACAAACCCTCCAGCTACTTCTCTCTAATCCTTCTAATCCTTTAATGTAATTATTCTTTTCTTTACTATTATGTAACTAACAATCTCACAAGTCAATGAATGTATCAACACGTAATTAACTATTATAGTAAGTTTATTAATCTACGTAAATCTTTCTGGATAAGGGTGCTATATAAGAAAATAAATAGAAGGAGTCGCAGAAGGGTTTTTTCACAAATTAATGAGTTTACAAAATGTTAGCCACAACAGCTGGTCTCGGAAATATATTTTCAACTTGAGTATTTTGCCTTATTTTTTTTTCTTCAATTAAACATTATTTGTTTGTGGAACACAACACGTTCATAAAATAGCAAGAATTACAGTACAAGTATAAAAGTGGCTGTACTATATGAAATGTTTTTACAAAATAATCTTAATGTCTCTATGTAACAACACATAGCACTGTAGTGAATTTTATATGAGGAATAAACTGCAAGAATTTTATTCAACTTTCAAATCAAGTTTCTTCACTGGGCAAAATATATTACAAATAATTCTTTGATTTATAAAGTATTTATTTAACGTTCTCCCATTGATTATACTAAACAAGATTTCCACGTTCCGTGCTGTTCCTTTGGCTTGATAAAGTGTTCTTGGCTTTAAAAAAACATACAGAAAAGGTTTTCTTAGCTTTAGTCATAGCTGATTATTTAATAAACCAGGATTGTTGTTGTTGCCAGTTTTCCTATTTTGGTTAAACATTTAAATTTCACTTGGGAGTTACCCACAACGTCTGGTTTACTGTATAAACTCAAAGGAAATGGAAATTGTTTAATAATTAATAAAAAAAAATCACTACTTTGGATGCTGACTTGACCCAAAACAAGCTGTTCTGGAAACCCACAAAAATCATTCACAGAGTCACAAGTTCTCAAACATGAGTATTAAATAAAAAAATTTAAAATGTGGAGTTATACTGACCTGATTTAAGATTTTTTTTTTAAATGATCTAATCAGGGGCTATTCTCCAAATATGTGATGGACTATAGAGCGACTATCACACACACACCTCTGGTTGATGAGCAGAGTGACTGCAAGTGTTAGAGTCAGTAGCATACAACGAAGTGGTCTTGGTGCATTATCCCTTAACCCTCTAATGTAAAAAAACTGCAGGTTTAGAGAAACTGCAATGTTTACATTGAAGGGTTTAGACAGCCTCTAGTCTAGTGCATGTGTGCAAGCATTTACATGTGCAAGAATCAATTGAGTGTGAACATCTGTGTGTGAGCATTTCTTTAATGTGTGTGTGTTTGTCTCAGCTTTTGAGAGCTAGATTGATCCCTGACCTGTCCAGGGTCCCATAAATAGTAAGGGTAACTTAGCTGGCAACAGCCTGATATGCTCTTCTTAGAGATGGCAATAAGCTATAGTGATGATGGTACGTCTAGACTCCCTTTAAAGATACATGATGACTAACCTGCTATCCCTTTAATCTAAGTATTTTTAATCGGCCCACAAAGTACAACCTATAATTTTGGACAGTAAGTAACATTTTGTTCTGGGTTGTAAATATCCGGGGGTGGGGGTTCACAGATTAATTAAGAAAGGCTGGGAGATGGTATAAAACCAGAATATTTTTTTAAACTGAACCACAATACAAATTGAAAACTTTTTTCAACACTAAATTATACGGTACTTTGCTTATTATTATTATCTAATAGCTTTTCTGCACATACAAATATTATCATTGGTCGTTAGTAGGATCTAAACAATCCAAGCTCAACATTTGCCATTTCACTGAATGCTGAGCCACGGAAAATTGATTATTGCTACGCTACATGTGGCATCTCTTTGTCGACGCAATCTCTGAAGTTAAAGACAGCACTGCCTGTGGACAGAACAATCCCAATATTTGCAAGTGCAGCCGTCTTTTACATAAGAAGAACTGGCGGTGAATTACATAGAAACGTAGAATGTGACGGCAGATAAGAACCATTCGACCTATCTAGTCTGCCCAATATTACTCTGTCACTACCAAGGCCTTAAAGGACCACTCTAGGCACCCAGACCACTTCAGCTTAATGAGGAGGTCTGGGTGCCAGGTCCCTCTAGGATTAACCCTTTTTTTAATAAACATAGCAGTTTCAGAGAAACTGCTATGTTTATGTTAGGGTTAATCCAGCATCCAAATCCTCTAGTGGCTGTCTCATTGACAGCTGCTAGAGGCGCTTGCGTGATTCTCACTGTGAAAATCACAGTGAGAATATGCAAGCGTCCATAGGAAAGCATTGTAAATGCTTTCCTATGAGACCGGCTGAATGCGCGCGCAGCTCTTGCCGCGCGTGCGCATTCAGCCGAAAGGGAGGAGAGGAGGAGTATAGGAGGAGGAGAGCTCCCCGCCCGGCGCTGGAATAAAGGTGAGTTTTAACCCTTTTCTCTCCCTAGAGCCCGGCAGGAGGGGGACCCTGAAGGTTTCCCTGGCACTATAGTGGTCTTTTAACAGTAATAGCTACCCACGGAATATTACTACACAAAAATCCATCAACAGTATAACTCTTATAAGGCAGAGATGGTTAACCTTAATTTTTAAATCTTTATTTATTCACAGAGAACATCACTATGCACTGAACGATAAAGATAAACTTCCGAGAAGAACTGAAGAATTGAGGTATCATAGACATAAATGGCAGCAGAAAGGAGAGTAGAGATAAATAAAAAAAATTTAAAAAAACTCCTCATTATCTGTTCTAATGAAGGCAGACGGCTGATAATGAGAAAATCACAGGAAACAGCAAAAAAAACCTCTGCAGGATGAACGAGACATAATTACTTGTATTACAATTTGCTTAATGCATAAGTAGACTTTCATTCATGTGGATATTTATTTTATCACAGTCTGGCAAATCTTGCCTGCTACCGACTTTCCTGGCCTAGCAGCTTGCATTCAATTCTTATTTTGCAGAAATTCATTGCGTATACAAGACCCTCAAAGCATGAGTTATTCTTCTACCTGAGTTTATTCTTACAATTCTAAACAGAGTTAACAATGTAGTCCTGATTAAAACTTTTTTTTTTAACAAATGTTGTATTCATTCTATGCATTCTGCATGTATATATTTATAGAGAGAGAGAGAGAGAGAGAGAGAGAGAGGAAGGCAATGTAGATATCTCGAAAGATAGCTATAGATTTAGATATAGATATATAGAGAGAAAGAGAGATCAGATGTAAGACCACGAACGTATTATGAAAAAAAATAGTGCTTTAACCCCTTAAGGACCAGACTGTTTTTGCGATGTTGTACATTTGCGACCAGGCCTCTTTTTACACTTTTGTGGTGTTTGTGTTTAGCTCTAATTTTCCGCGCTCTCATTTACTGTTCCCATACAAATTATATTTTTTTTTTTCAAGACAAAAAGGGTTTTCTTTACATATGAAAAAAAATTATATAAAAATTAAATATGGAAATATCAAACACCAGAACTGAAACTATTTAATAAAGTAAATGTCAACAGGAACTCTACCAGGAAGGGCCTCATTTTCTTAGGGAGTCCACATCACTGTAGTAAAAAGTCAGTGGCTATCTGGTAAAGTAAAAAGTGCATATTAGAAGTCTACCACCAGGTGGCACAGAGTAGTATGAGAATACTAGCAAACTATTTCAGTATGGCTGTAATACACTAAGACTGCCACCAGGTGGGTCCATTAAATAGACCAAGATTGGTAATAAGTTGTTAGAGTAGTTACAAAGCGTCCATTTCCTGTTGTGCCCTACGTGAAGGCTAAACTTGGCCTATTTATTTGCTGGCTGGAGCTGTTTGACAAGGAAGGAGTAGGTGCAAACATCTGATGCACGTTTTGCTCTCTCAGGCCACAAAGCTTGTCAAGAGTGCACTGTCTCCTATCAGAGTGGTACAATCAGTGGGTTTTCTCCATCCATTTCTCCCTCTGTAGCCTCACAAGGTCACCTCACATCATTTTCAAGCACCTCGCATGCCCAGTTCAATTCCCATCCCTTGTGCATGCGCCTTCTTATTTTATTTCGACCTTTGAAAATCACAGAGTTTTTGTTGCCTACTATGTTGGTCTGTTGAGAATTCATAGGTAGCACCTCAGTTTGAAGTGAGCACACTTACGTACCAGCATGAGACACTTTGCCTTTCACAAAGCCTTAATGAGCATTTGGACTGCAGAATACCATTGCAGGGACTGTTAGGAGTTGTACAGTGGGAGAGGAACACAAAAAAAATAAATGTATACAGCCGTGACAGAGCAGCTTTAAGGAGGCACTCTAGGTAACTCAGCTTTAGGTGCAATGTGTAGACTTGGTTAATTACTTGTAAATTTGCTGGCAAGTTATATACCGTATATACTCGAGTATAAGTCGCCCCGAATGTAAGTCGAGACCCCTAATTTTACCCCAAAAAACTGGGAAAACTTATTGACTCAAGTGTAAGACTAGGGTGGGAAATGCAGCAGCTACTGGTAAATTTCTAAATAAAATTAGATCCCCAAAAAATTACATTAATTGAATATTTATTTTGTGTATATAATGAATGCAGTGTGTGTGTGTGTATAATGCAGAGTGAGTGTGTGTATGAATGCAGTGTGTGTAGTGTGTGTGTATATAATGCAGTGTGTGTGTGTGTATGAATACAGTGTGTGTAGTGTGTGTGTATATAATGCAGTGTGTGTGTGTGTATGAATACAGTGTGTGTAGTGTGTATGAATGCAGTGTGTGTGTGTGTGAATGCAGTGTGTGTGTGAATGCAGTGTGTGTGTGAATGCAGTGTGTGTGTGAATGCAGTGTGTGTATGAATGCAGTGTGTGTGTGTGATGCAGAGTGTGTATCCTTGGTATTATTTTTTTTAATTATTATTATTATTTTAATTTATTGTTTTTTTAATATTATTATTTTTATTTTAATATTATTAAATGTTTTATTATATTATTATTTATATTTTTTGTCCCCCCCTCCCTGCATGATACATGGCAAGGGAGGGGGGCTCTCATTGTGGCATGGGCTGTGTAGGAGGGGGGCTGGCAAAGTTGTCCCTTCTCCTCCACTGTAAGGCAACGCTCTGATGCCGCGGCTCTCGCGAGATTTACAGTGGAGCTGACCGGCACGGAGGTGAAGGGAGCTGACAGGAGCTGCAGGAAAGGTAAGTAACAGCTTCCTGCCAGCCCCCAACAGGACAGCCGGGCTTGTAATGAGCCCGGTGGTCCTGGTCTGTATTACGGCAATATAAATTGCCATAATACCAACACTGACTCGAGTATAAGACAAAAAAAATGTGCCGAAAAACTCGTCTTGAGTATATACGGTAGTTACATAGCTGGAAAGAGACTTGTGTCTATCAAGTTTAGCCTTCCTCACATTTGTTTTTTGCTGTTGATCCAAAAGAAGGCAAAAAAAAAAAACAGTTTGAAACAATTTTGCAAGAGACTAGGAAAATCCTTTTTTAAACCCAGAATGGCAGTCAGATTTATCCTTGGATCAAGCAGTTATTACCCTACATTGAAAGATTATATCCTTGAAAATTCTGTTTTTGCAAGTATGCATCTAGTTACTTTTTTAACATCTGTATGGACTCTGATAAAACCAGTTCTTCATGCAGAGAATTCCACATCCTTATTGTTCTCACAGTAAAAAAACTAAAAACTTTTCTTCGCCTTAGACAAAATCTTCTTTCTTCCAGTCTAAAAACGCATGACCTCGAGTCCTATTTAAAGTCCGGTTTGTGAATAGATTTCCACACAATGGTTTGTATTGGCCCCGAATATATTTGTTTTTGTTAATGTTATCGTTTTTTTGCAAATATATTGCAATGCATTATTACTACATATTACATTAAAAGAGAAAAAGAATGTTGACTTCTGTGTTTAATACAGTCTCCTATTAATTGTAGGGATGATTGCAATCTGACCCGTACCAAAACTGTTTTAAAACTGTTTAGTTATTCACTAAATAGTTCCAAGTGAATTCTATGTGAATATCAAAATAGTCAAACTGGAAAAACTCTCAAACTCAACTATGTTTCCATTTAGGCTACCTAGGCTTTAAAATTTAAATTCACTACAAATTCTCGCTTTAGTGAATAAAGCAGAAATATTTTAAATTAAAAGTTTATAGGGTTAAACAGACTTAACAAAATCATAAATGTCATGGTAGTTATGGTGCCAGGAATGCCCTGGCAATCCCATCCCCCCACCCCTAACATTAGGAAGGGGTGGATCTCCTACCTGGGACATCAGCTGGATGCAAATAAAATTATTAATATTTGTAAACTCTGACAGTAACTTTTTAAAAGTTTTTTTCAGATGAATTTGGCTCCACGTGAGAGCGAGAGAGCTGAGTGAAATGGTTTATAAAACAAAGTGGCACTTTGCACGACGTAGAACAGATGATTGAGTCACATATCATCCAACTTTCCATAGCAACTGAAAATATCTAGCACTTATTAGCTTTCTCAAAATTAGCACAAAAAAATGTTTTCCTGATACGGTGGCCAGATGTTGTTTGTTGCTTTTAATGGACTTTAATGGACAGAGAGACACTCGAGTTAGGAATACAGCTTTGTATTTCTAACACTATAGTGTCCCTGTAACATATGTTGTTGATGCCAACAAAAAGACTGTCTTGGTACTGCTGAATTATTTAGAATTCAACAAGGAATAAGTCAAAATAACGGAGCTCGAAACATAGTTGAACTGGGGAATTTTTTTTTTACAGTTTGGCTAATCTGTCAATCAACAATTAAAGGGACACTATAGTCACCAGAGCAACTACAGCTTATTGCATTTGTTCTAGGGGGTATAATCAGTCCCCTCAGGCTTTTTGCAGTAATTACTGTCTTTTCAGAGAAAACAGTGTTTACATTACAGCCTAGTGATACATCCACTGGGCACTCCTCAGATGCTACTAAAGGTGCTTCCTGGGGCAGTGCTACACAGTGACATTCAGTGTCTCCACCCTCTGCTTGGAGACACTGAACTTTTATCATAGAAATGCAATGACTCAATGCATCTCTATGAGGAGATGCTGATTGGCCAGGGCTGTGTTTGGCTTGTGCTGGCTCTGCCCCTGATCTGTCTCCTTGACAGTCGCAGCCAATCCAATGCTTTCCTATGGGAAAACATTTTTTTCAAACATTTATTACAGAAAAGCCTTGAAAATATTTATCAATCCATTGAGAAAAAATGTGCATTGTCAAAAACGACATTTAGGTCACAAAAAGTTACAGATTAAATAAATCCAACAGATTTAATACATTTCACCAAATGATGTGTCAAAAATTTGAAGAAAAGGTGTTGGTGACACATTGATAAATTGCCTTTCGTGTGTACTGATTTTTTTTTCACATACTTGGCTGCAATAACAAGCCACCATCTTTAGTTTGTATTCTGGATGACATTAATATCATGAGCTACTAAGAAACTGAATTAGAATAATGGAGGATGAATTA